CTGTGTGCCCTCGACCCTGTTCTTTGCAGAAGCTGCAGTGGACCAGGCCGGGAACCCATGGTGAGGCAGGACCAGGGACAGAATGGTGCTGAATTCCAGCCTGGCCGGTGGTGGTGAGTCAGCAGGGCTTACCTGCTGGGCAGAGGAAAGCTAGCTGCCCCCACCCCCCAAAGGAGCAACAAGCTGGCAAAGGAACCAGGGAGGGCCCGTGGGGTTGCTTTTCAGTGCCCAGAATCTTGGTCCCCAGGCACCCAGGCCTGGGACCTTCCCTGGCTGCTGGCGACTCTGGGGTCTTGAAGTGCAGCTGAGAACATCCGTGGGTGAGCCCCAACATCTCAGCCCCACACAGTAATTTGCTGGGGGGGTGCTGCTTCCTGTGTGTGGGGGGTGAGTTTTAGGGGGACAATATGTTTGGCTGTTGCTGGTTAACTTGTCCTGGGGCTTCCCAGTGAAGCCGGAAAGTCTTCTGGTTACCTCAAAAGCGGAATAACGGAGCTAACACACACACAGTGCTTACTGAGCATCAGGAACTGTTTGAGTGCCTCACTGTGTTATCTCACAGCTGCCCGGTGAGTTAGACCCCGTTGAACCCCTATTTTGCAGATGGGGAAACTGAGGCATGGAGCGTTAAGTGCCTGGCCCGCGTTCAAATGCTATTGGGTGGCGAATTCATCTCCGTGGGTCTATTAGATGAAAACATATTTTGTCTTCTTAGAGTTGCCTACCGAGGTCTCAGCACCTGCAGCCTGCATGATTTGGAGACATACTTTACAAGGGCCACTGACAATCCATTACCAGTGACCAGAGTGGGGGAAGGAGTGAGGGAACGGAGGATACTGTGCTCTGGGAAGAGATGAGAGGTGGTCAGCCTTCTGACTGGCTTGTAGAAAAGAGATTAGCCTTTTCCCTGGGGTTCTAGGTAGTAGCACTAGTACCAAGGACGGATGCTTCAGGGAGATTGGTTTCATTATTTCCAGCGGAAGGCTATCCAAGGAGTAAAGCTATTTGCAGACAGATTGGAAGCCTTGGGAGGTGTGAGCCTCCTGTCCCTGGAGGTGTTCAAGCAGGGATAGACTGGGCACGTGGGGATGACATGGAGGGGATTTGTGCATCAAATGGGGTTGTGGGTCTTTGGGCTTGAGGGTCTTTTCCAGCCCACAGAGTCTGTGAATCTATCATCCAGGATAAGACATCACTGATGAGGAACCCCAGGCCCCCTCTGGACACTCCCACCAGGGCAGCACAGGAGAATCTAGGTATCCCTCCAAAAATCGGTAACGGACAGGAGTGAGAGGCAAGGGGCTCTGTCCTCCCTGGCAGGTAACTCCTACCTCCTGGCAGGTGCATGCCCAAGATCTTGGGACTTAAGTCAGGGTCCTGAGCTGGGACTTCCTGCCCTTAGATTTTCCTGCTTCCTTTGACACCTTGGCCTTGATTGTGCCTCTTCATAGGTGGGCTTTCCCTCTCCATGTATGGTCACAACTTCCTCCTTGGCTCCTGGTCTCCTGGATACCCATTCCCAGTCTGCAGCCATGCCTTTCCCTGCTCACATCTTGAGTTCGGGCCACCCCAGAAACAGGCTTCTCTCTCTTCCTTTTCTAGATGGCGAGGAATTCTGGCTTTGGGGATACCTTCTAACCCAGCAATCAAGGAGAAGTCTCAGGTGCTCACATAGCTGGGGTATGTCTTCTGGATAAGACGTGTTCCATGTCTCTGGGTTTCAGGAAAGGTGGGACCACTGTGCGCGGGGAGGCAGCCTCTGCTCCGGCCTGTCTGGTGGGGCACCGCATCCAAATCTTGGGTTTCCTCCTTCTCCAGACCGTTGGTACCAGAAGGCAGCTGCCCAGCTGTAAAGAGTGTCTAAAGCTTTCCCTTCTGCTCAAAACACTTTGCCCACTCCTATCTCTGATGAGCAGGGGCTACATGGCTAAGTTTCTTCATTTCTAAAACTGTAGCTGGCAGCAAGACATGGGAGGGATTAACCGTGTTGGCTGGATGCTGGCTGGTCCTGATCTGTCTAGGACCCCGTGATGGCCGCAGACTGGGAATCATTATGTGTCAGGCATTAATCCTTGTCAATCGGGACATTCCTACCGAGGACACAGGACACCCCGAATGCCCTGGACCCCTATTGACCAAGAGGAGGGCGTGTACAGTGGACACTTTCTCCTGCTTCCTCTACCAAATCTGGCCTATCTCTGGGGTTAAGAAGTACTGAAGGAAGAGTGCAATTTTCTGGGTAGGGTGAGCCCCTTTTTGAGCTTCTAGGGAAACTCTGCAAATCTGTTTTTAGCAAGGTGCCTGCACAGACATACCCGCTTTTCGCCCCACCCCCTCCCCCGACTGAATAATATTCTGAGAATCCCCCCACCGGCCCCCCTTCTCTTCTAGGTCTCTCCAGCCCAGGTGCATATAGAATAGGAGAATGTTCAAGCTAGAAGGGACTTCGGGAGTCATCTTAGTCCTTCTCAAACTGCTGTGTGCTTATGAATCACCCGGGGAGCTTGTTAAAACAGATATTCTGGTTTAGTAGGTCTGGGGAGGGGCATGGGATGCTTTGGGCAAACAAGCCTCCAGGTGACGTGGGTGCTGCTGGTCAGAGGGCCTTACTTTGGAGAGTGAGGTCCAGTCTCGTCATCCCACAGACATGAGAGTTGAGGCCCAGAGGCTTACGTGATTTGCCTACGGTCAGAACTAGAACTCTGTTCTCTCCACTCTTAATCTAGGATCTGCTTTGAAAAGGGCCTCCTTCCTTTAAAGCTGCCCCTTCCCGCCCAGAGTCCCAGCATAAACGTAACATCCCGTTTTAATCCCATTTTACTGTTGGGATGAAAGACTTCTTGTCCCATCAGGCCCCCCTTGCTTCACCGTGTGCATTTTTATAATCTCCAAAGGGATTTTTAAAGTTTTTTTTTTTTTTATTTTTTTATTGTTCTGACTTACGGACACCTCCCCTTCTTGGCTGGAAATGTTAAAAACCATGTCTCTCTCTCCCCGCACAAGTGGGCTGGGCATGGTTTGGATACAACTATTTTAGTCCCAGGCTGGAGAACTGCTGGGCCCAATCCATTTGGCATTCCCTGCTTTTTGGAATCTGCCCCTGGAGTGGTCTGAGAAAGGTTCTCTGCCTGTCTCTGCTGCCACCTGCCACCTCCTTCAAGAGGCCAACCTTTGCCTCTGCCTCAGTCTCCCAGGCTCTCAAATAGGCATTTGGGCCACACTCAGAGGGGCACTTTAAGGACAGGGGGACGTCCAGTGGACCAAGGGTATCTGGGTTGTCCTGGGGCCCAAAGGAACTGCTTTGCCGGACTAGAGAGGTCTCCACTCTCTGTCCCCTCCTGCTGGTGGGAGGGCAAAATGCCAGTCTGGCTACCAGGCCATAATGGCAACAGGGGGTAAAAGTTCCCCTGGAGGCCCAGGGAAGGCAGAGAACATAAGGGGAAGTGGGGAAAACTGCCTTTTATAGTCATGTTCCTCTCTTTCTCCCTTCTTTTTTTCTTCCAAGTTTACTCAGCGACAGTGCCACTCGAAGGCGCCTGGTCTGTCTGTGGTTACGCCTGGGGTGGGCCGGTGGCACCCGCATACCCCCTCCCCCATCTTGCTGCAAGTTGCATGACCTGCTCGGAATCCATAGGGGGGCGGGGGAGAAGCCTTTCAGATGCTGGATGCAGTTGAATTCGGCGCATTTGCTTCCTAGCCTGCCCTCATCCAAGATCGGGGAGGAGAGCCCTGCTTTCTTCTGCGTGTGAATGCCGTAGTGTGTCTGCCTGCTCCGACTTCCCTAACCCTTTCTTTTCCTTTCCGACAGCGAATGCTCTGGTTTTCTCAGCAAACAGCTCACACTTGGCATTTTGACGTTTTATTTAAAAACAAAACAAAACAAAACCAAAACAAAAACCAAAACCCAAACCTTACCAAAGCAAAAAGCGGGGACCGTTCTCTTCTCCCGACGGGATCTGAGCTCGCGTCCAAGGCTGCACCTGCTTTACTCCCCTACCAGGAAGGGGTGCTTGTGTGGGAGGGAGGGAGGTTCTGCGCCCCCGAATCCGGAGAGAGCAGCCCGCCCGCCCCCTCACCGGGCAGCCAGAGCAGCGCACCCGAGAGCCGAGCCCAAGAAGCCGGTCTCTGACGGTGCTGGCCTGCTTGCCAAAAAATGCCCCTTGCATCTCAATTTCCCGGCCGTTTCTCTCTTGCACGCGCCGCTCGCCCGGGGCCACCTCGGCTCCCCAGCGCAGCCCTTTGGGCGCTGATTCTGTCCTTCCCCGCTCCCTGCCTGCCCGAGGCTGGACGCAAAGCCCACCGCCAAGAAGGCGCAGGGGGTGTGGGGGCACCAACCCGGGCGTGCCCCGCAGTCCCCTCCCAGCCGAGCCCAGCTCCCGGACTCTCGATTACGGAAATGAGTGTCATTTAGACGGAGTACCGCGCGTCCGCGGCTCCCGTCCCCGGCTCCGGGAGCCTCTCTGCGGTTTCCGTGCGCTCCCGCAGCCCCCGTCGCCGTCTTCGAGCTTGTGCCCCCCACCCAGGCTCGGGAGCACTCCCCGGTCACCTCGGCCGCGTCCATTTCACTTCCTCTCGCAGTCCGGATTGCAGCAAAACACCGGGCAGCGCGAGGGCCAAAAAGTGCAAAGGAGAGCGCCTTTCGGCGTCGCGCAGCCAGCTCGCCAACTCCCCCTCCCCAGCCCAGACCCTCTCAATCCCAACTGCAACTTTTTCCCTTCCGTCTCGGTTTCCCCTTGGCTGCGGCGAGCGGGCGCCGGGCGCCGGGCCGCGAGGCGTGGAGCGGGCGGGCGGGCGGCCGCGCGGCTGCGGGTGGCGGTGCGGGCGAGAGCCGCGAGCCGGCGAGTGGGTGGGTGGGTGGGTGGGGAGGGAGGAGGGGAGAGGACGGGCGGGGAGGGAGTGGGGTGTGGGGAAGGGGAGGGGGAGAGGGAGGGAGGGGGGAGATTCCGCTCTCCTGCCGCTCCCAGCCGGGGCGGGGGGCGGGGGGAGGAGGCCGCGAGGAGGGAGGGGAGGAGGGAGAGGGAGAGAGGGAGGGAGCCGAGGAAGACGCTCCGATAACCCGTGCGTTTCGTAAGGCTCTGAGCACTTGTACATTTCTGCAGGCGCGCGGCGAGCCATTCGCGGCGGCTGCTGCAGCTCCGACTGCATCTTCCTCCTCCTCTTTCCCCCGGGCTCCGGGTGTGTGTATGTGTGAGTGAGTGTGTGTGTGTGTGTGTGAGCGTGTGTGTGCTTTGCAGGTGTGTCCGTTTTAATTCTGCCCAGTAGGTGGGACTTGGTGACTTTAGCACCATATTTTCCTTTTCCTTTTTTTTTTTTTTTTTTTTTTTTTTTTTTTTGCCTCCCCACCGTCTGTTGCAACCCTGCAAAGTCTCGGAGTCGGAGAGCGCGGCTCGCTTCCCGAGCCTCCGGACCCGGCGAGCCGGCGAGCGCCGAGCCGGCCACCATGCCAGGCAAACCGCGCCACTAGGCGCTCCCCGCGGCTCCCACCCGGCGGCGGCGGCGGCGGCGGCGGCGGCGGCAGCGGCGGCGGCGGCGGCGGCGGCGGCCGCGATGGTTTCAGACGCTGAAGGATTTTGCATCTGATCGCACGGCGTTTCAAAGGCAGAGGCCCCCCCTCCCCCTTCCCCCCTCCCTCGCCGTCTTTGTTTCCTTCCCCCCCAGCTCTCCCCACTCCCCCCACCCCACCCCCCTCTCCTCTCCTCCTCCTCTTTTTTAGAAGCCGCGATCGGAGATGGATGTCTCTCTTTGCCCAGCCAAGTGTAGTTTCTGGCGGATTTTCTTGCTGGGAAGCGTCTGGCTGGACTATGTGGGCTCCGTGCTGGCTTGCCCTGCAAATTGTGTCTGCAGCAAGACTGAGATCAATTGCCGGCGGCCGGACGATGGGAACCTCTTCCCCCTCCTGGAGGGGCAGGATTCAGGGAACAGCAATGGGAACGCCAGCATCAACATCACGGACATCTCAAGGAATATCACTTCCATGTAAGTCGGGCGGCCGCTCCCCAGCCCGCCTCCCCTCTCTCTCCGCGGCTCCGTCTCGCCCGCCGGCGGCCGGGAGCCGGCCCTCCGCCCGCCCGCCCCGGCTCGCCGCCGCCCGCCGGGCGCGCGTCAGGCTCGCCGTGGCTCGGGAGATGCTCTCGGGCTGCGTAGTCCAGGTGATCCGGCCCTAGCAGGCGGGGGCCGGAGCCGCGTGGGTGCCTCTCCCGGCAGGGGACCCCCGCCGGCCCGGGGCGTGCGCGGCCCAGCTCCCGCCCCCGCCCCCACCCGCCGGGGCTCGTCGCGAGGGTGCGAGTCGGGTTTTTGCCCCCCACTAAATAGCAACAGTTTGGCCACGCTCAAGTGGAATAAAGTAGACGAGGTTCGATCCCCGGCGGCGGCGGCAGTGACAGCGGCGGCGCTGGGCCGGGAGGCAAGGTGACAGGGATTGCTGGAGATCCAGCCGAGATCGTTAACTATTTCCTTTTGGAAACAGCGAAACACGCTGACAAGTAAACAAGTTGGGAGCTGGCTGCTCGCTGGGAGACTTTGGACATGTCGAGGCCGTCATGGACGCCTACCTCTTCCCTTTCTCTCTCGCCCGCCCTCTCCAACCCCATTTTGGGCATTTCCGAGACACCCCCCGCCTTTCCCACCCTCATCTGCATCTGGGCGCCTACAGATCCCGTCCTTGTGAGCTCTGATAACTGCGCCGGTAATTCCGAGTCAGGATGGAGAAGGGAGCTGAGGGGGCTTGCGGGGTTTGGGGATGGGGCTTATATGGTCTTGCAGATCCATCGTTTTTTTTTTTTTTTTTTTGGAATAATCCAACTCTGACTGCCGTTTGCTGGGTTCTGCCCCGTCTGAGTGAGACCTGTGGTGGCCTGCATTCCCTCCCTCCCCTTGGCTAGGGATGGGGGATAGAACCGAGGCACAGGGAAAAGAAGAGCTCAGCCAGGGTCCAGGGATGCTGCCCATCTTTCCTTCCACTGACCTCAGGGCCAGGTGAACCGCCCCCCAACGCCCCCCCCCCCATTTTAACATCCAGAGAAGGGTGTGGACCGTGCTGGGGTTGTTCAGGGGATAGCTCTTTTGTCCCCCTGCCAAGGTCCACACCCCTTGGGAACCCTCAAAATGGGTAAGATGGTGAGAGAGAGGGGTTTGCCCTGAAGTCCCGGCTGGGGTCTGAAGGAGGCATCTGGGCAGACACAAGCCCTTCCGAAGCTGCCATTGGCGCTGCTCTCCCAGGCAGCAGCCCTCCCTCTGCCTCAGAATGGGGCAGCCAGGCTGGGAGGAATTGCAGTTCTGCTCTCGAAAGCCCGCCAGCCCTGTTGGCTTCGTGGAGAGAGCGCTAGCATCCTTGCAGCTAACAGTTGGAGGAAGTGTACAGCCCAGGAGATGTCTCTGACTCCTGGCCCTGGAGACCCGCTTGACCCATATCTGGGCTCTGCCAGTCACCTCCTCGCCACCTGCAGCCGGTGGGCCTGGAATGAACAGAGGAACAGCTGAGGGGGCAGCCAGAGGTTGGCAGGGGTAGACTGGCCGGACCCAAGCCTGCCTCTCTGGGCCCTGCAGGCTACAGCATTCCAGCGCCCCTGAGGATGGCAGGGGGAAGGTCTGGAGTGTTATCGGCAGGGAAACTCTGGCTTGGGAGTGCATTTGGCTGTGTGTGTGGCGGTGGGGGGGGGGGGAGGGGGGGGGCCGGGGGGGGGAGTTGGGGGATGGGGAGGGGAGAGAGCTTAGCAGTGGGTCCAGGGGCTCCGAGCTGGATCTGGGGATATCCAGGGGGACTGGGGGGGGGGCGGCTAAAGGTTTGAGAGCTGGTCCCTGGTGTGGGTCTCTGGGGTCTGGTGAGCCTCATTCTGGCCGTTCTCTGCTCCCAGGAAGCGTACGTCTGTGGGAAGCCAGTGGGAGGCTGGGATGGCCACAATCACGTAGGCTCTCTGTAGCCAGGCAGCGGTCGCTCCTCTGAAGACGATGCTTGGGGAAGCAGTTTGAAGGGGGGAGTTGGGCTGCTCTTTCCAGGCCTAGGGTCCAAGATGGAGGTGCTGAAAGGTGGGTGACGGGAGGGGATGGTGTGGTCTCTTGTCCCCTTTGCCTTTGGAGGACCCCAGTGGGACAAATGGGAGAATGGTGAGCAGGGACTGGATTGGGAGACTGTGTGTCTCCCTCCCTGCTTTGGGACGTGGGCTCTTTGGCAAGCAGGCAGGACTCCTTTCCTTATGTCCACCCTGACACCTAAGAGCTGGGGAACTGGATTCCCACAGGAGCTGTGTGGATTGGCAGGTGGGGGAGGAAGGTCAGAGGTCATGGGTCTGATGACCTTTCCTCACCCCGTCTTCTCCCCAGTGCCCTCTTAGATCTTTGGCTGGTATTGACAGAGCTTTGGGAAGGGCCCAGCCTTTGGCCTCGGAGGCAGAGAACTGTGGAGGGAGGGAGGGGAATCAGGCTCATTGTGGGAAGTAGCTGTCACCCATTCCTCTGTCACTCAAGGGAATGGAGGCTCAGGGTGGCAGAGTAACTTCTGTTGAGGCACACAGCCCCGGTGGTGAGCCAGGCTTAGGTCTCAGTCTATCCAACACCAAGGCCCGGGCCCCCATTCTGCGGGATGCCTGTGGAAAGAGGCTGGGAGGAGGGCCTGGAGGGCAGGCAGAGGAGGAGGGCGAGGGAGGAGGCCTGACTTTAGCATGACCTGGGAAGGGGGCTTGAGATGCAGCCCAGACTTTGCAGGAGGAAAGTGTGCTCCTCAGATCTCTGATGCTATCAGAGAGAGGGTGTTCGGGGGTCCTCCAGCCTTCCATCAGCCTGAAGCTCTTGCTGGTGTGTGCCTAAGGGTACAGTTTGGGCTGACTCTTGGGATGGAGCTGGGATGAAGCTGTGTTTCCATCAGGCCTCACTCCGGGAACCTGGGGGGGTGTCCTTGGGGGCTGTCCTCCAAAGACACACCCTCTTGTCTGTGGAGCTCTAGGGCCCTGACACCCCTCCCTGGGTGCTTAACTGATCATGCCTGACTTTTAAGATGGACAAGAGAGTCCCTGTTATCTTTCTCTCAGAGTCGTCTGTGGAGCACCTCTTGGGTCCCCATCATGGCTGAGGACGCCCGTGATCAGGGAGGGGGCTGCCCCACCAGTCACAGGAGGGAATCAGCTGCAAGGCATCAGAACAGAAATGTGGGTCTCAACTCCTCCCCTCCCAAAGGGCTCTGCTTCTGGGCCTCTTTCTGTTCAGGAAGCCAGCTCCTCAGCCATGGGTGCTCCTGGCCCGCAGTAACCTCAACCTAGAAGGGGCCGCACATTGCCGCGCCCAGCCAGGCTCTGTCGTCACAAAGGCAGAAGGTGGAGGCTGGGAGTTGGATCCTCTGTCTAGGTCAAGCCTTCCTGAGGCTGGGTCACAACGGTGCATCTTTGACCGTCAGAAGATCAAGGGAGAGGAGATGGCTCATGGGACCCGATGCTCCTGGGGTTGGCTACCCAGATTTTGAAGACCATTGAGCTCTTGGCTGGGACTCTGAGCCTCCAGCGGGGTCTCTGTGGGAGCCCCCACAGGATCTCTGGTGTTTGCCACTCTCTGGTCCATTTATATCCCCAGTCTTCCCTGCAGGCTCTTGCCTCTGTTGGGTGAAGGATCATTTGGGTTTTGGCTACTCTATTGGTTCCTTGATTCTCAGCCTTTCTAAGGATCAAGGGGAGCGCCAGCCTTGACAATTACCCATGGGACCTGGGATGCAGGCAACGGTGTGAGCCAGGCCCCAAGGGAGCTCCGCCAGGCACAGAGCCTAGGTCTGAGAGAGGTAGGCTGAGCTGGGACTCCTTTGTGGTAAGATTTGGAAGGGAGGCTGGTTGCAGCTCTGGGGAATGAGGTACTTCCGGGATGGAAGCTGGGGCCCCGGGGCTCCAGAGGCCCTGGGACTTAGCCTGGAGGCCAGACCCTCCTTGGCTCCAGAGTCCTCAGCCCCCACAAGCCCAGGTCAGTCTTGCTAGGCACACGCCGGGGCCCAGGGCATCATCTCTGCAGCTCCAGGGACCTGGGCGTGTGGCAGCTTTGGGTAAAAGCAGCACAGCCTGGCCCTTGCTTTGGGAGTGCTGGGGTGCCGGTCCTTGGAGGGCTGGTCCTGGAGTCTGGGAGGCAGCGCAGGGTCCTGCAACGGGCTGACCAGCCTCCTGCCTGGCTGAAGAGGAGCATGCTGCCGTGAAGAAGGGCGGTTCTGATGCCTGCTCCCTTGGGATGCTCTGTCCTTGCCCTGCCCGCCCCTGCCTGCTGCCTCCTCCTCTTCTCTGACTGTAAGGGTCCTTAGCCCAGCTGGCTCTTGGGTGGGGGTGTGGGTGGGCTGTGACCTTCCCTCAGGATGACCTTTGCCAGGATTGTGGCATCTCTGCTGCCCCTGGACCCCATCCAGTGGCCTATCCTGGGATCCCAGACACTGTCTCTGGCCTCATTTGGAGGCCTCCCATTGACTGCAAGGGAGGGTAGGAAGAGAGAAAGGGATGACACACATGGGTCCCTCCCCTGGCTCTTCCCCTAACCCGTTGTGAGCTGTAGGAGGGGTCTGTAGCCTTTTTGAGCCTGTAAATTCAACTATGAATTGAATCCCTTTAATTTTGGACCGATGCCACCCCAGGGCGCAGGGAGCACCCCATGGAGTCTCTGTGAGGTCCCTTGTAAGGGCACAAGCTTTAGGATTGGTGCTGACTTTTGCGAGGCCACCAGGAAGAGGACTGTGTGCTCCCTCTCGGCCAGTGGCCACTGGCCGGTTTTCCCTTCGTTCCTTCCCTTCCCACCTCTACTGAACTCTGGGTCACCCAGAAAGTGCCACACAGTTTGGAGTCAACGGCCCAGACCAAATGTCACACTTAGGGATGCCCTGGGGCCTACAGCCCCTCATAGCTTGGACATCTAGCTTCATGTGGGACTCCGTTCTCTACCCTGCACTCAAGCTTCCATGCGTTGCTTCAGCAGGGACCTCCACTGAATGGGAGAGGAACATGCTAGAACTTCCATTTCAAGTT